AAAGAGGCAGACCTAAAAATACTTGGTTCAGGACGATTGTAAACGAATTGAAAACAATAGTGTCAGGATCCTGATTCCTCTCCCACGCATTTGTTTGACCCCTTGACCTGAGGGTCAGAGGGTGAAGGACACTGGAGGTGTCGTCCCCTACCTTGGGGGTGGAGCAAATGACTGTTTCTGAGGAGAAAGAGGATTTTTTAGATCAAGATTAGTTTTGAACGCAGAAGAGTTGAGTTTTGAGTTGAGCTATGATAGAGAAAGCATGAGCGAGAAGGGAGCAGCAGCGCTCCGGAATATTATATTCTCCAATTCATGTATCATTTTGTAAATAATTATATTAATCCAGAATAATGAAATAGATAAGCTATAACTGAAATAATCCTTGGTCATCCTTATTGAGGAGGTCTTTAAAAACGAACCAAGAGACAAAATGTCTCACAAATAGGAAAGGCATTGAGATAGGCAAAATATCTGGTCAAAAATAAAGCGAAATTGAGAGCTATGATAGAAGTCCTGTGGTCTAAATAGAGGAATATGCATGTATGTATGGAAATACAGCAACGTTTCTGTAAGCTCAAATTTACATAATGTTATTCATTTATTTTTTGCTACCTAAAAACTTAACTTTTGGGTATGAATGTAGTTCGAAACTGAAATACGCGATACGAAAAGAAACTCTCAAATTTGATGTAAGACAGTTAATATTTTAAACGAGAATCTTCCTTAAACGTTTCTCAAAAATGAGAAAAAATTCATATTTTACCATAAAATAGTTTTTGCTTTTTTTGCTTTCTGAGAGTAGGAAGAATACGAGAAAATTTTTAAAACAGTGGTGGAAGGCAGAAACTTTCCCTGAAATTTTAAAGGAATCAGAAAATAACAAAATTTTTATATTTTTAAATTTTTATTGAGTGTAATATGTAAAATAATGTGGCAAAAAATATTTTTTTTACTTATCTTTGTAGGAATTACTCCATCCACTTTAACAGATTTTCAAATTTTTAGAAAAACGTATTTTTCTGTCTCTTTCAATCAATATATCTCTCGAACATTATTCATCCAATTTCCATTTTGTTTCATGAGAATATAAATAATTCAATAAACTGGAATGGGATATGGCCTCTAAACATTTTCGTTTTCAATGTAAATATTAGCCTTCTAGTTGCTCTCTGAAGCCAGGAAAGGGGTTCAACCAGCTCTCTTAGGTAACGAGTTTTGCTTTGCTTATGTTTGAGGAAGAGAGAAACCTTTTCTCACGTTTCAGAATTGGTTTTCATTTATATTCAGAGTTAAGATACAATTAATTTAGCTTCGTCACAAAAAAAAAAGTTGACAGGTTGTTAATTCTCTACAAAGCAGCGAAAAAGGGAATTTTTGAAGCATATGAAATTTACATAATTTGAGATCTTCAAAAAGCCTACTCTACGTTAAAGAGAATTTAATTCTAGCAGACCTCATAGTAACAAAATGGAAAACGATGTAAGAATTTCTAAAGCATTGATACATGAGACGAGATTGAAAATTTTGCTTTCTATAAACTCTGTGGAAGTTTTTCGATCTATTTAATTTTCTCAATTATTGTGTTTTCAAATAACATGTAACCTGAGAGCGTTACTTTTCCAACGCACTACCATATAATCTATTTTTTTTTTATTGATATTTTGAATTGCTTATTTTGTTTACAGCCAAATTTGTCTCAATCTATAGAACTTCTTTAAAAGGCAGTTTTAGTTTTCTTTTTCAGTTTAATAAATTTTTGAAGCTGATTTTCTCTAAAAAAAATACATATATTATGAAAAAATTCTAGTTTTAGAAAAAGAGGGCTATTTTTAGAAACTGTTTATCCTCTGTGACTAAAAAAAGATTTGCATTAATTGTAAAACATATATGTGAACATATTCATTCAATGTCCAATGGAGGTTTTTATGAGTTTTAAAAACAAATTGCACCCAGAGACAAGGAACGTTACAATTCCTGATCGCAATGCTCTAATACGCCATCAGGGGAGAAGATCGGTTCCCTGGCTTGAACCTTGCCTCACCTCTTCTTCTCAGTCGTATAGGAGTGTACTGAGATATTTCCCCCATTCTTAATATTTTTCATATTTAATTGTCACAAATAGTTTTTGAAAATTCCATGAATTCCTTTTGGAACAATCAATGTTGTTTTCAATGCCATATAGTTTCCTAACCTAAAATTTTTAAATTTATTTGAAAATCAAGACAAAAATTAATGTAATTCCTTCTCCGATGATTCTCCTCTCTCTAATGGTGAAAGGAAAAGAAGTGTTGCAATAGGTAGAGAGTACTGCCCAACGCCAACTATAGCTCAATCCTATCGCCTGTTTAGCTGATACTGGGTTTAGTTCGTGGTGTTTTCTGAAAATATCAAAAAATGTTTTTTGAATATTTTGTGCATCATTTATTCAAGAGAACATGCGCAAAACTTTCTCATTGTATGTGAAAAAAATTGCCCGTAGTAGAATTTATATTTTAGAGACCGCTCTCACTGCACGTGATTCACGCACTACCAATTGCCTTCGAGGGAAAATAAGAATCGGATTGGTGATATCCTGAGAAAAACTTAGGTGGCTTCCCAAGAAAAAAATCACTAAACAGGTTCTCCAATTTTTCCCGGGGCAATTGGAAGTGCGTGAACTGCATGTAGTGAGAATGGCCTTAAGCGGAGAACCGGAATAGAAAATTTTCACCAATCAAGTTCTCATTCTTCCTCGACGGCAGGATATGCGTGTAATGTAGGCAACGAGAATGGTTCCTTTAAAAAATATGAGAGACCATTCGCTAAATTCGAAGAATTCACGTGTGCGAATTCGGAAACCCTTGCGAGAACTTTACAGGTGAAATATATTTTTCTACGAAAAGTTTATCAATCAAGTTCTTGTTTGCATCGCTGCAATAATATGAAATTTTCCTTTGCTGTTGTTGTTGTTCATTTACGTCGCACTAGAACTGCACAATGGGCTATTGGTGACGGTCTGGGAAACATCCCTGAGGATGATCCGAAGACATGACATCGCAATTTTGATCCTCTGCAGAGGGGGTGGCATCCCCGCGTCGGTAACCCGACGACCTGCACGCGAAGTCGAGCACTTTACGGTAGAACAGTTTAACGAGGACCCATACCGCACACCCTCGGTCCCTACGCAGGCTGATCCAAGTGGTCACCCACCCGCACACTGACCGTAGCCAGTGATGCTTGACTTCGGTGATCTGCTGGGGACCGTGTCTTAACGATTAGTTCACTGCGGGACAAATTTTCATTTGCATCCAGCGTGAATGCCCCTTAAGATAATAGGGAACTGTTCTCACTATAAGAGATTCACTACCTTACCCCAAGAGACAAGTAAAATCTGATTGGCGAGTTTTTTCGTTCCAGAACAAATTTCACGCAGATCTTCGACCGCATCTTCAAATTTAGTTACGTGATATTTTACATACAACGAGAATGGCACTTTAAATAAGCTATGATAATGAGACTACTACTCGTGACTGTCACTGGCTGTCAATTCAGTGGTTGTAAACAAAACAAATCATTTTATTTTGCTGAGAAACAGTTTTAAACAACATTTTCTTACCTTTTTGGTGAGAACTTATGTTAGGTTAGTTCATAAAATAAGTACTTTTCACACCCGAATTATTCCTCTAGCAAAATATTCCGCATTTTTCAATCGAATTTTGACAGTATATTGAGACTATTCCATGGAGAAGGATATGTTTCTTTAATTGTGCTCTAATTGTTAACATTATTTTAAATGTGGGCTGTGTCAATTACAAAAGAAGAATTTTTAATTTCTGTCTAAAGTTAATGAATCCTTATTATTTAAAAAAGTTAATTTTGTACATAACTGGTAAAAATTTATGAAATTGTATAATTATTAAGGCTGAAACGAATAGTGATTTGGCCGAATAGAAAGTTTTTTTTTTTAAATTCATTAATAAATATTATTTTATCCATACAAATAAATTTAGTCATTATTGAAAATTAATTAAAACTTAGTTATATTATTGGTAAAGGGTAAAAACTATAATAGTTATCCATAAGAAATATTTAAATTAAATAAAAAACTAAGTGCTGTAAAAAACAATAAAGGTGAAAAAGAGAAATTGAAAAAAAATCCTTTTAATTCTTAAAACAAACTTTAAATGCTAAAAATATTTTCCAGAAAAAAAGTTTCCAAAAAACATTAAAACAAATATGGTTTATCTAAAAAATAGTGTGCTAAGATAAAAACGTCCGTAAAAAAATTATTAAGCTAAACAAAAAGAAATAAAAAATCTATTTTCTTCACTTTTCACATTGCTATATTTTTAGAAATTGTATTATCTGTTAATACTTAAGATAAAGAAAAAAAATTGAAGCAGTAAACACAGTTTTACAATGCATGATAGGCACACAATATCTAGAGTTCTCTCTAGGAATAAAAAGGGGTAAGTTGCTTCCTCTTAGAAAAGGACACTTGGAGTTTTAAAAGGGCACTCACTTATTAGAGTAAAAGTTTACTAAAATGTGTAATATCTGAAATTGATCCTCAACAATTTTTATGTTACTATCTTATACTGTATTTTATTTGTATATTTCAAAAAGTAATTTTCACTCATCTAAATACGAGAAAAAAAATTTGCTTATAAATAATAATTAAAGGCATGCTAAGACAATCTTTGTGCAAATATTTTTTTTTCTTTAAAAAAAAAACTAAAAAATATTTTTTGATAAACGGCTTAAAAGATTTATAGGAAAGTTATTAGAAAATGAACATTTAAAGGTAATTTTTTTTAAAAAGAAAAGGTATTTACTTAAAAAATAATTTTAAAATCACTCAAAAAATGTATTAATATAACCCCTGGAAAAAAAAAAGAGAAACATATAAAAATTTAACCAGCTGAGAATAATTCTAACAAAGTAAATATTTATAATAGTAATCAGAATTAAACCTATAAACACAGATAGTTTTTGTGTGTAGTTATTATTTTAACCGTTAAATTTTTAAAAAAAACAAAAAAAGGGAATATGAATAAAAAGGCTCTGGTTTTAAAGGATGGCAGCTTATTTTTAAAAACAGGGCAAAGAGAGTGCATTTATAAGGATCAAGGGGCAGGCAAGGTGCGTCGCACTTCTAAAAACACTTAGGGAGAACACTGTAATGTGAAGTTTGTGTATATGTATGTGAGCAAACATTGTTTCAATTATAGGTTGCAGTATTAGCATGAAGGTAAATATTAACCAAATAGACAATATGAAACCTCAAAACACTTTGTTCTTGTATGCAGGTCAGCTGACTTCTGCAGTATAAAATGCTCATTTTGTCAAAATGGAAGTTTTAAAACCATAAATGAGATTCCGCTGATCATAAAGCACCAGAATTTGTCACTGAAAAATTTAGTTGAAAAAATGATGTTTCTTTTTTATAGGAATATTGAGAGTTGCACCAAATATCCAGTGAAACATTGCCGAAATTACAACTTGCAATTTGTAAATTTTTACACAAAGTTTATGTATGTAAATAAAACAGCTGTAAATTATGTAATTAATCTTTCATGTATTTTTCTACTAAATAGGACATTGTTTTATTGATTTAAATTTACTAAATAATTTTGTTCAATTATTAAAGCACTTAAAGGATATTGAATGGAACAACTATGTCATTACAATAATATGATAATAATACAATAATTCTTATTTATCAACACATTATTGTAATAATAAAATACAAAAATTTGTTATGGAACTGCTTTCAATGATAGAATATTTGAATAGACATTTATGTCACTGATAGTTAAAATAAAATATATTATACTTTTATCTAAAATATATATTTCTCACTTGAATTTATAATATGACAAAATAAAGGAATTATGAAGTTAATTTTTTTAGAAAAAGATTTTGCAGACTCTTTCTGACCCACAATATATATACAGTTAGCCTGCGGACCATTTGTTTGACTGTATAGATAAGAAAGAAATAATCTCAGTCTTATTTAATTGTGGAAGCATAATATTACCTTAATTTTCTAGAATAACCGAGAATGAATTCGTAAAATTAAGAAATAATATAAATATCTATCATTTCATTACTGTCAGCATAAGTATCTATCATTTTGAGGTTGCTTTTTTTTAAAAGAAAAAATCATCATGTCTATTAATAATTAATTATAACTTTCTAATATATTTAATAAGTGTTTTCCACTTTTTTTTTTACACAGTGGTTAAGTCAACTTTTTGTTTTATTTACTTTTCTATCAAAATTAAAATACATAGTTAACGTCATTCAATGCCTAGGCTATTAATGACTTATATATATTTATTTAATGCAGCTTATTTTAAGCTTTATTAAATATTATTATTATTATAACTTTATTATTATTATAACTTTAATGTAACATAAGTGTTGAATATTATGAAAAACTCTTGACCCCATCCAATTTTTAAAGCTGGGACAGGTTTCTAAGATTTTTTGAGAATGGGTTATTGTTATCTATACCAGCTAAATCTGCTGTAAAGAATGTGGGTCCTGCTTGAGGTTTTTTTATTGTTTATCAACCTATCTGCGGGGGACAAATTTCAGGATCAAGTTTATCATTCAATGCCTCTTTTAGAAATATTTCTTATGTGTATTCTTAGTTTGCTTGTTTTTTGGGATATTTCATTGTTTTTATTCTTTTCTGATACCTTGTTTGTTTTATAAAAAAATAATTACATAAATTTATTTATGTCTGATATTTAAAAATTTGTATTATTTTGTACTATTATAGAAATTCAAATTTTCGCACATATTTTACTCTTATTATTTTTAGGCATTGACTCATCTTAGGATAATAGTCAAAATTTTGCTGCTGCAAAATGCCTGCCTTAAGGAAAGCCAAGTACAAACCATTTACTAAAGAAATTATTACAAAGGGATATGGTTTTAATACACCACAAGATGGTTCTGTGTGCAAAATAAAAATAATTCTTGATGAAAAAAATGTTATTACTGAACTAAATGATTCCAACGAAAAGGAGATAGTCGTAGGAGATGTTGATGAACCAGTAGACAGAATATTAGAAGATTGTATCCGTACTATGAAGGAAGAAGAAGTTTGTTCCCTACTGTTTCTGCACCCTTGTCTCAATGACGACTCTTCCATACCAGAAGATTCAGTGGTTGAAGCAACAGCAGTTGAAAATGATGAAAATAAAAGTGAAGACGTCAAAGATCCCACTTCATCGGATCAAAATTCAACTGAAGCCATTGATGAAAATGTAGAAACACAGGATGACTGTAAAAAAGATGATCAGTCTTTGGAAGTGACCAAAGCTCCAGAATCTGTTTCTAGTCCTGAGGAAACTCTACAAGAGAAACTAAAAAACATTAAAAACCTTTCAAATGCAGTTGAAATTCATTTTCAGCTTTTGTCTTATACAAGAGAACCTGAAATATGGGAAATGAGCATAACTGAGAAATGGCGCAGAGCAAGTTATCATAAGCAAAGGGGATTGGAATTATATTCTAGAGGCGCATATCAGTATGCTTTTCGTCGTTTTGGCTTGACCCTCAAATATGTTATATCCTTGGAACATGATGTACCATCAATGCAAGAAGAAGGGATGGATATTAAAGGATTGAAACTTTCTTGCTATCTTAATGTTGCTGCTTGCCAAATGAGACATCATAATTATGATTCGGTTGTAATTAATTCATCTAAAGCTTTAAAGCTGCAGCCCAACAATGCCAAAGCTTTATATAGGCGTGGCTCTGCTTATGTGCAGTTGCAAGAATATGAAAAAGCTAAGGATGATTTGGACATTGCACAGCAACTTGAACCTAAAAACCAAGCAATCGCAAAACAACAACAGCTACTAAAAAGCCAAGTTCAGAAGCTTAATCAATATTATGCTAGTGCTATGAAAAAATATTTCTCATAATTTAACGGTAGGTAGAATTAAAAAAAAATAAAAATGTTAATAGAAGTGTGTATATTTTTAAATGTCTGTACTCAACTTAGAAAATTTGGTTGCCATTTTCATAAGTTATATTATACATAATATTCATATTCACATTAAGTAAAAGAAAAGTTTTATTAACTTAGTAAGATTAGTTATGGAATCTATTTAAAGTTTAAAACAAATATGTTATATAATATATTTGTGAAACATAGATATCTGCTCTTTTTAATCATCATGCTTTGGCAAATGGCTAGGTGTAAAGAGTTGTTTCCTTTTTGTAGATTGTTTATCTACCTTATAAGATGAGATAAACTAGGTGTTAAAATGTGACTTACTATGTGTATAATCGCCAGAGAGTTAATGTAGTATAAAATACTGGAGCTTAGCTTTTGATATATTAAAGAAGAAATTTGAAATTATTTAAAAATTAATGCTGTGTTATTATGCAATTACATTGTTTGCATTTCTGCATGCATTTTCTACCTAACTTTTATGTATATAATATTCTGAGAATTTTTTTATTATATTTTTGCAAAAAAAAGCGTAACAATTTGAGTCAACAATATCAAGATATTATAAAATCAATCAGTTTTCTTCCTTTTATGTTTAATACATGACATTTTGAATATTTAAAAAAAAATATACTCAAATGGAAGAAAAAGATTTAATTTCACTAAAATATCGGGCACTGATCACAATTTTTTTTTTACACCAGGATATCAGGGCATCTGGAATTTTTAGATCTCTGATTTTAATCATAATTTTATTCCATAAAAACGATTTTATAATTATTTTTGAAAAAGAAATCCAAAGTTTTGAAGGTTTTAGGTTGGGGAGAAAAATAGTATTTTTTGTAACAATTGTTGTTAAAGAAAGCATGCAGATAATGAAAGCAAAAAACTTTTTATTTATAAGTTTTCTCTGTTTAGCATAATTCTATTTAATTTGGAAAATTTTTTAGGAGCTAATTAAACATAAAATATTGCTGATATTTACTATATACATATTCAATGCAAATACATATATCTATATACCACATACATGTATATATATTCAATATTAGAAAGCACTATTTTTGCAGATATATTCATGTAAGCTGATGACGACTTTATATCTTTTCATTGTTATATTTTCTAATTTTAATTAATTTTATTAATTTCTCAATTTTATTAGTATTTTAATTTTATAATTTTTTTCTCTTTAATATATTTTTTTCTCTGTATTTCTATTTTATATATACATGTCAAAGCTATTATCTTAAACTTCCTTTTAGGCATATGTAGTTAAAATCCCATTGGAAATAAATAAATGTAGCCTAGCAATTAATAAACCTTACTGTGATTAATTTAGGTCCTGAGTCTGCATGAAATTTTTTTGCTCCCTTTACCCGAAAAAAAAATTGTGCTTCAAAATGCTTATAATTAGGGTCCATTTAGTAGAGTGTGCTTTAAAGTAATATAATACTATCTTAAAAAAATCGTGTTTTATAACCGGCATTGAACAGCTGACCAAATTCTGAGATTTTACGACTATCAATGTTCAACTCCGTAGCTTTGAAATTTTGAACCCAAACCAAAAGACAAGAGAACTTCTGGATCAAGCCTTGGTGCTAACAAACTTTTGCAAAGGAGTTTTTGATGAAACTAACCCGCATTTGGGTTACATTGATAGATTAAACCACGTAAACCTTAGTCCGTTGGCAAGGGGATTCTAAATCATGATTCGTTTAATACTGAGAATACTTTATGTCGGCAATGTAGTCAGTGCGAGCCGGGAGCAGAATTTGCTTCAGCCAGCCATTGCTGGGATTTGAACCTAAGTTAATTCATATGGAGGCAAACGCTTTTTTCCCCGAGTCACCATGGCTGTAAGAATACTTTTTGACATCAGAATATTTTATTACAATGTGTAATTTTGAGCCACTTCGAAGCAATGCCATGGGCCCTACAGTCCCATATGATAGTCAAACCTCTTAAAGTAAGAAGGATTCATATGTTATATTAAAAGTTAAAATCCAAAATATAATGTAGTTAGTAGTGTTTTACTTCATATAGAAAATGTACAGAAGAAAAAAACTTTCATAAAATAAATAAAAGGTTTCACAAAAAATCAGGGTTCGTGATTTTTTTGATTTTTTAAAAAAAAATCAAAAGAATCAGATTTTTTTTATTTAAATCGGATTTTTTTGATTTAAATCAGATTTTTTTGATTTTTATTCATACACATTGTAAGAACTTTAGTTTATGATTAAAAATACTTTATAAATGTTTAATCAAAATTAAATTAATATGAAAGCAATATTATAACAATATTTTAGAAGCTCTAACTTACTAATATAATTTTTCATTATAATACATAGTTTTGAATGCATAGCAACCATTTTGAAACAAATGCATAATTGAAATTTGAAGACTAGATGAAATAGAGAATTTAATGAAAGGGGTCTGTCTAGGTTTTTCTGAGAGGTATTTATTTTGTGAAAGTTTAGACATAATTTGTGAAAATTAAAAATAACATTAAAAAATCAACCCAAAAATATGGATTTATTCGTTTCTTACAAAACACAAAAATAAAATTTAAAAAAAAAAAAGTATTTTGTGAAAATCGTTTTTCCTAAAGTTGAATTTGTGAAGGTTCCCTAAGCAGTAGCAAATTTGGCTTGGGCAGACTCTTTAACTATTAAATTTAAGTTTCAATTAGCAAACCATAATTTTAATTTAAAATTGTGTTTTTTTTTCTCTTGATTTTTAATATGACAAAATAAATGTAACAGATTGTGTTTATAAATGTAGTCA